TAGTTAGATCTGTGTTAGATCTCTTCCCTGCTTACACTGTCCATCTTTCTTCCCCATCGCAGTGCCCTTATTTCTCTTCTTTTCCCCAACCTAGTTCCTTTTCTTCCCTTTCCCCTAGCCTAGTTATATCTCTCCCCTTGCAGCATAGTTATATAGAAATCATGAAAGGTGGGGTACACATAGGTGGGGTTGAACATTGTCATAACAACAAACAGAGGTAAAGCCACTTCACAAAATCTTATCTGAGGATTTAGCACTCTAGATTACTAGGAGATCCACTCAATCCCATCTAGGGTGTATTGCTTTCTTCTTTCCTCAGATGTTAATCCATTTAAACAATCATAGTAAATTTACTTCTTACTAATATTTCTAGTCATTTTGTATGCACACAGGAAGAGTTATAAAGGTTGGCTCTTCCTGGGGACATCTCACTGTATATCCCAGTCTACAATTCTGGGGCCAGGTTATTCTTTCCTAACTCCAGCAGGGTCCTTATATCTTTGCCCCTTTCAGTGCCAGGGTAGCTCACAGATTTCCCTTGGTCCATCATTGTCCCTCTTTGGGGCCCTCCTTTTGGGAGTGTTAGAAAGTAAAGGCTAAGTCAGGTAAATATGACAGATGCCAAGGAGTAAATATTATTTCAGGATCAGTTAGCTTCCATGTGACAAAATAATAGCATCAGCTGTCTTACTGTGTCTATACAAAAAGGGCATTGCTAAATAAACCATGCAAAGGACATGAAGGAATAATAAAAGCAATATAGGATTATTAGTGCCTGATGGAATTGGGTGTGACTTGGGATCACTGATGTGGGAATAACTTAATAAGCCTAAACTCCCTGAGAGAGGAGCAAGGATAAGCCAATGTTATGCAACATTTTTCCAGCAAAAAAGTTCTACTATTAACCAAATATATCTAATAAAATAACTTGTCAAAAGAACCTGTTAATAACCTGTTTTGTAAAAAGTTGCTGTTATTTCACTGGAACTACTGTGTTTCAATAACTAGGCAAAATGTCTGCTTTAAGCAGTAATGCCTTTACATGAATTTAACTGAGATTGTAGAAGAAATTAAATTCAGTCAGTCCTCATTTGCATCTCTAATGTATGCCTTTGACTGCTGATTCTAAAACACTAGTTATGACTCTGTTAGGTTGTTAATTTATACAGCAACACAATGTTTTTAGACAACTGGCTTTGAGATTTGAGGCAATTTAAAGAGCTTACTGCTGTTCTTCATTAAAATCTCCTGTTTAGAGCTAAATATTCTGAAATTTATAGTAGGATCTTTCGAGGAACATTGAAAGTACTTTATTTTGTATTGAGCTTTGACACTTTTCTTGTTGTTTTGTTTTCTTCACATATAATGACAAACATTAAATGAAAAAAGAATGGTTCAAATTTTGGTATATTTATATATTTGTAGCTATTCAATATAATAACATAAAAATGAAGCAAAGCTACTACTTTAGCTAAATGCATTATTAATAATGTTTTGATATTGATTAAAAAATTTCTGAAGGTGAAGTTTCCAAATTCTTATCATATGTGTTAGGATTTTGAACTTTGACTGACGATTATAATAAAATCATCACCTTATTTGTAGCTAGCATTCTGAGAATTAAAAGAGATTCTTCTATTAATGTACATACCTAGAATGATATCTACATATACTAAACTTAATTCTATTAAAATTTTTGGTCTTTGAGGTTTTTGTCATCTCATGTAGTTTTGATTGGTAATTATTTTTCTAACAATGTGAGTATTTGGATTTGTCTACTTCTACTTGTCAAAGTGGGCTTCCACTTATTATATTTCTTTGGGCTCCTGTTTTACAAATTTGTGGAAAAATACTTTGAGAGAACCCAAAGAAACTACATATGAGGATGAAGACCCCATATATATATATAATAATTTGTTATTATTATTTTGCTTTTTGGGTCACACCCAGTGGTGCTTAGGGGTTACTCCTGGCTCTGCACTCAGGAGTAATTCTTGGGGAACCATATGGGATGCCAGGGATTGAACCCAGATCGACTGCATGCAAGGCAAACAACCTACCCGCTGTACTACCACTCCGGCCCCATTTAGCATTATTATATGTATTTTAAATGTTGATTATTTGCACCAATTTCATTAAGTATTTTTATTAAATCTACTTATTTTTAAAAAATGCTTTATTATTTTGGAAAGACTGAAACTATGCCTTAGTATAATGTATGAGATATTACATTTTTTAATGTTTTTAGTAGGCAGTAAGTTATAATTAATTCTAAATCACTAAAATGTAATAATCAAGCTTTATTTTGATCATCTCTGTTTTTTTTCCATGTCCATTCTTCAGAGAAAACCATACAAAATAAGTTTTATGTTTAAAACATTATAGGGACCAGTTTTTTATTTTAGTAACAAATTGGGGTCAGAGCTCTGGATATAGTAATACCTTGTTTTTTCTGGTTCATGTCAAAATTGGTGAATTTTTTATAAATACTTTTCAGGTAAATTTTACCCTGTTATTACTTTTCTTCTTGTCTTTGGAAATAGTACAAAATGAATATAATAAAAACTGTTCTTCATTAAACTGGGTTATCATTAGAAATTATTATTACTTTTTCAGTTTATTTTTTTCTTTGCATCCATACAAAGGGACCTCACATACACTGCCCCTATTATATGTCAATGTTGGAATTTTTATTATTTTATTACTTTTATTATTATTATTTTATTATCATACCAGAGTCTCCTGCCCCCATGCCTCACTGTCCTCACAGGGGCCCCTCAGAGGGGGGATGGTTGAGTTTCCCTCCCCGCTCCAAGCAGAGCCCCGGCAGATGAAGAGCTCCAGAACCAGCCATAGTCATGCTCAAGACCACTCTCTACATGTTCAGATGAGCCTCTCGCATGAAAGAATCAGCAGAGGAACTCAGGTGTGCAGAACCTGGGGCTTAGATTTCCAAGCCTGCTTGGATTGGGACTGGGCCTCCTCCACCCAGGCCCCATCTTCCAGAAACTAAGCATTACACTCACCAACTGCTCCTGGAGCCGTGTTGTCCCATCAACGGCCAAGACCCAGGGACTATAAAACCCAGCTCCTGGAAGCACGTGGCCATATTTGCGGCCGTGCAACTTGTTTTTGTCCAGTTCTCACTTTTGGAGAACCCAACAGGCTACTGAATATATCCTGCCCACACGACAGAGTCTGGCAAGCTCCCCGTGGCATACTCAATATGCAAAAACCCAGTAACAATGATAGGTCTCATTCCCCTGACCCTGAAGGAGCCTCCAATTTGGTGCTTGCTAAAATCTCAGGGCTAGGACGATTGGAGATGTTACTGGTGCCTGCTCAAGGAAATCAATGAACAGTAGGATGATAGTGATACAGTGACACAGTGATATCATACCTGTGGCAAAATATTGTCCTCAGGATGTATTCAAATTAGCTGTATTTTTTTTCTCATGTCTACTGTTATTCTCACCACTGGCAATATGCCTACTTCTATAAAGCTGATCTTCTTTACTTGCCAGTTCTAACTGTAAGCTATACTTGTTGGATTTGTGTCTAGAAAAAAGATAGAATAGAGTTTAAGAGAGAACTTGATGTTTTCAAGTATACTTCATAGAAGAGAAGAGGTATTAGTGTATATAAAAGTGAGATTGGCACTTACAGAGAGTTCAGTTGTAAGAAATATTTTTTTTTCCAAATCTCTGCTGTACTATTCTGACACATGTAGTGGAGCTTCAGTATTTTACTTAAATTTTAAATATCTCATTAAGTAACTTGAGTGTAAAAGTTAACATTGGATAAATATGTTAGCTCTATAAAGTAGAATAGAAATGAGTTCTTAATTTAGATATCTTAAATATAATGAATTTGCTCGAGCGGGCCCAGTAACGTCTCCATTGGAGACTTTGTTGTTACTGTGTCTGGCATATCGAATACTCTCGGTAGCTTGCCGGGCTGTACTAGAATATCTTGAATATAAGGTAAAGGTAAAGGTAAAGGCCCTCCCGTTGATCGTCGATTTGCTCGAGCGGGCCCAGTAACGTCTCCATTGGAGACTTTGTTGTTACTGTGTCTGGCATATCGAATACTCTCGGTAGTTTGCCGGGCTCTCCGAGAGGGGCGGAGGAATTGAACTCGGGTCGGCCATGGTTGCCGCATGTAAGGCGAACGCCCTACCCGCTGTGCTATAGTACTAGAATATAATGGGAGGTGTGGAGGAGGCCCCATCTCTGGAGATTTATAGCATTACTGAAAAATGAGAGTTAACTATTTTGAACAATCCCTTGATAATGAACATTTCATGGACTACTTGATCATTTGAACATTCTTTGATTCTGACTTTCTTCTTTATTTTGGGTAGATATAGTTATGGATTATTTTATTATTAATAATTATAGTTACTTGTATGCATGTGTTATATTCACAATATTATAGGAAATGAACGAAAATATCTGACCTTTTCCCCATGAAAATAAATATCCAGAATAATTTTGGGGCTCTATCCAGTTGTGTGTCTCTGGAATTTTTCTAGGTACCATGCTTGAGAGCTTCTTGGAGAGATAATCAGGGGATCATACTAGGCCGGAAATAGATCCTGAAATTCATGTATGCAAATTGCGTGCTCCAGTTATATAAACATAATCAATCTTGTGAAAGAAAAATACAGGTAAAATTTGTTTAAATATTAGAAAGAGGAGGTAATTCAGACTTAGGATTCAAAGGTGAATTCTTAAATTGCTCGTTATGACCTGAATTATGAAAAGAAACTAGGGACTTCAGCATGTGGAAATTTTTAGAACTAGTAGTTAGGAACATTGGGATAATGAAAAGAAGGCCAAGGATACTGAAATGCAGTGAGCAAGGAACCGTGTGTTAGGAGATGAAGAATCATATGCTAAATAAAGAAAATGCTAGATTATGAAAAAAATGGAGAAGTATGAAAAAATGGATTATGCAGGAAATGGAGAATCATATGCTAGGCTAAGAAGAACTTTGGAGTGCTTGCTTCGCCAGCACATATACCAAAATTGGAATGATTCAGAGAAGATTAGCATGGCCCCTGCACAAGAATGGCACATGTAAGAAGAACTTTGGAGACTATTGTAACAATTTTGAACATTTTCTCTACTGCATAGATTTTGAAAAGTTCAAGGAGGGAAAAGGCATAATGAATGTAGATTTAAAAGTATTTACTAATGTATATAGAGAGGTGTTAAACTGTGCCTCTGAAATTCTATAACATAACATTGTAGCACAGCGGTAGGGCGTTCGCCTTACAAGCGGCCAACATGGCCAACCCGAGTTCGATTCCTCCGCCCCTCTCGGAGAGCCCGGCAAGCTACCGAGAGTATTCGATATGCCAGACACAGTAACAACAAAGTCTCCAATGGAGACGTTACTGGGCCCGCTCGAGCAAACTAATAATAAATCAATTAAAAAGAAAATTTTAAGAAAGTAGTGGTAAAGGAGACTAATGGAAGTTGGAAAAGGAGGGAGTAGAAGTGAAGAAATTGGCTTAAATGTTTTGAAACAATATTTGAGTGGTGAAAGTGACTATGAAAAGAACTGTCACTGTCACTGTCTTCCTGTTGTTCATCAATTTGCTTCAATTTGCTCAAGCGGCCCAGTAACGTCTCCATTGTGACAATTGTTACTGTGTTTGGCATATCAAATACATCATGGGTAGCTTGCCAGGCTTTTCCGTGCAGATCAGATACTCTCAGTAACTTGCCAGGCTCTCTGAGATAGGTGGAGGGATCGAACTTGGGTCGGCCATGTTGGCCGCTGAGTGATAGCACAGCAGGTAGGGTGTTTGCCTTGGACTCGGCTGACACGGCTGGCCCAAGTTCGATTCTTCACCCCTCTTGGAGAGCCCGGCAAGCTACTGAGAGTATCTCATCTGCACGGCAAAGCCTGGTAAGCTACCCGTGACATATTCGATATGCCAAAAACAGTAAATAGTCTCACAATGTTACTGGGCCTGCTCGAGCAAATCAGTGAACAATGGGAGGACAGTGACAGTGTCTATTTCAAGTGTCAGTTGGCTAATTCAACTTATGAAAAGAACTGTACTTATTCAAAACTTATGAATCAAGTCCAAAGTTATCTATAAATGGGGATAGATTTGTCCTATAAGATTCATATTCAGAACATTAACTATTACTATTTATGCTATCTGGTAGAATTTGAGTTGGTTAATTAGTTTTTTAAAAGCTAGAGAAATAATAGTATATGATACTTCAAGTGCGATATATCAGTATGCTCCATATTTTTAACTTAAACATGAAACTTTTAACTTAAATATCAAATTTAACCTATAAACCATATAAATATTCAGACTGCCAGTATTAATTTTTTTAGATTGCCAAAATTCTGATTTGATGTTGTTACCATTTATTAATTGTGAATGTGTGATTTTAAGTTTTATAGTACTTTGGTTTTGTTTGTATCACTTATACCTCAAGATACTTTCTCCATGTTTCCAGCATTGGTTCTTTTAAAATGAAGTATAATTCAAAAACAAATGTGCAAATATTTAGGAATGAGAATATAAGTATAATTTTTACTGTTATCTTCAACTTCATTTTTCCGATTATGTTATTTAAACCAATTTATAGTACTGTTTTTCTTGAGGCTTTTCAAGACATTTTGCCTGATTTTGTAGGACAAAATAACCAAACACTTTAAGACTGAAATTGAACCAGATTATGTCATAGGTTACTGAAATATTTTAATAATAATTCAACAGGTATAAGCTTTTTTGGAAACATGCAAGTGAATTTTGGCACAGATATAATTTCAATGAATGTAGTAAAAATGCAGATTAGTACTAAAACTTTATTGGCTTTAAACATTCACTGTACTGTCTTCACAAGTCCGTGTCTTCACAGAAGAAATAGTGGGATCTGTTAATATAGAAGGTATGTAGTTAAAGAGAATTTAACAGAGTTTTGAAAGCAGAGCTAAAAGTATTTGATCTTGATATGGAATCAAAGAAAGGAGAGTTTCAAGAAAGTGATTTTCATGAGTTCTATATGTCTGGTAAAGAAATGTGGAAAGAGAATTATTGATCAAGTGGATAGGAAAAACTCCAAATGTTGTTTTATGTTTAATAGGCAGAGAGAGAATTTAAGGGGCCATGTCTAGTAGGTCATTGAAAATGCAGCCTTAAATTTTAAAACAGTATAGACCGGTTTTGTTTGAGATTGAGGAAGTGTGATGAGATCTTGAACTAAGATAGTGACCTTTGTGCTGGGGTAGATTATTCAGTACATGGGTGTAGTGGTTGCTGAAGCTGATGTGGACAGACTGAGGTTTGAGTCATTTTGAATAAGAAAACAAGGTAACTGCAGAAATCGTGTGCTTTGTCAAATTCAGGGGTAGGATGGAACTCTAAATACAAAAATGATTAAAATCAGTAGTCTACAGAGTGACAACATAATAAAGAATGTATGAAGCAGATCATAGCAGATAGTTCAACCATACATAATACTGTGGAAATACCAGGTTGTTAGAATATCATGTTCTTTTATTTTTTTTTTAAACTTGTTTTAGGTTGTTCAGACATCAAGGAGGGGAAGAATGAGCAATTTTTCTTTAAAATGTACAGAATTTCAGTTTAGAAAGAAAAATAATTCTCAAAATTTCTTTTTTTTCTAAACTGTAGCACTGTAGCACTGTCCTCCCATTTTTTCATCAATTTGCTTGAGCGGGCCCAGTAACGTCTCCATCTTTAGACTTGTTGTTACTGTGTTTGGCATATTGAATACATCACAGATAGCTTGCCAGGCTTTGCCATGCGGGTGAGATACTCTCGGTAGCTTGCTGGGCATTCCGAGAGGGGCAGAGGGATCGAACCCGGCTCGGCCAAGCTGGCTGCGTGCAAAGCAAAAGCCCTACCACTAAACTGTATGATGTAATATGCTTGAAGCAACATGTATTACAACATGTATCAATTTTGGATAAACTTCATTCAATATCACTGTAAATTTTGCATTTTTCTGTGACAGTAACTGAAGAGTATGCTTCTGGTAGAGTCATTCAGCATACCCATTCATTTAATTTTCTAGAAGCATCAACATACTTTTCATAAAGCAGCCTAGCATACGCTTGATGTACTTGTGAATACATTAGCCTGTGTAATGGATACGAGGCTAAGTATAGCGATTTTGAGTTCCTTAAAAAGGGACTAAACTCTTGACCTTGGCCTTATTAACACTCTTCAGTAACAAACAAACTGATCCTATCAATTTGCTCTATAATACAGATGCTTTTAATCACTAGTGCTCCAGATTCTGACTGATGTGGGAATCTTCCTTTTGTGCTGGAAATAATATAAAAAAAAACACAACGTGATCAGAACTGGTGGAAATTATAATTAGATCTGAAAATATTCTGTCAAAGTGAATGTTGTGTTGTTTTACCCGGCTGAGTTAGGAGGCAAATTGTGAGAAGGAAGTGTTTATTTTTAGTCTATGACTATAGCTAATCTGGTCTCTGAGTGTGGGGATTTTGAATTGTGTTATGAGAGATAATTTGGCTGCCGGGCTGGCCACGTGACAGCTTGTTAAGTAATTTCAAATATACCAGACTCAGAATTCTCATTGATTTCCTATTCCCTGTAAGCCAGCAGAGCTGAATCTGATTAGCTTTTCTTTTTAAGGAAGCAATCTCTTACAAAGATGATTTCTTCCAACTGATAGGAATATTTTTATCTATAAATTTATTTGGTGGGGTGGGGGACTTTGGGCTAGAAGTGTTATGGGCCACTCCTGGCACTGTGCTTAGAGATAACTCTCGGTGGTACTTAGAGATAAAACAGTGTGGGGATCAAATATTTGTCTCCTGCAAGCAAAATATGCTCATTAGCCCTTTGAGCTATTTGTTCCACTCCTATATATCAAATCTTCAAACTAGAAATAGCAACTATTGATGGAGGGGGGAGGGTTGAACTTGATATATTTCTCACAAAATGAATTTATTAAGTTTCTTAATATCCAGTGTATAAATGTTTGATTCTTATTTTTGAGTATCTATTTTTAAAAGTATCCCAGAAGAAATATCCTTGTTCTTGATAAATCTGTAAATGTCTCATGTTTATAATGTAACTTTTTAAACATTATATTTAGAAAATGCCAAACATTTAATTATGGTATTACATATTCTCTCACCAGCTGCTCTTCTTTTTGATTTCTTTCTCAGATTCTAGTGACACCATGCAATCTCTTGCCCATGCCAAAAAACAGCTTCATTTTTGCCTCCTGCATACATTCTTTTGAGAGTTTTTATTTTTTGGTGGGTTTTTATTTTTTGGCTTTATTGGTGATTGATTTAAACTTAAGAAGATTATTATGGTATGTTGGTTTATAAGATTGAATATGTTTTTAGATGAAAGTTTAGCATCTCTTCAAAATATAGGGGCCAATGAAATAGTACAGGGGTTAAGGCACATGCCTTGCAATTGAACAACTTGGGTACAGTCCCTGGCACCACATATGGTCTCCTGAGCATTGTCAGCAGTGATCCATAAGCTCAGCTGGATTTGCTCTCCAAACTAAATACACAAAGTGTTTGCTACTACATTGCACCGACGACCAAAGTACCCACATGCCTCTGCAGCCCATATTTTTTAAAATTACTGTTTTAACTTATTTTAGAATCTATGGTATACTTTTCATCTTGTTGCCATGATTTAATCTTTCCCACTATTTATGTTTCCTAGATTATTGCAGTGAATTTCTGCCTCTCGTTTCAAATCTATTCTCTCTAATTTAGCAAATTTGATAAATATGATGTATAATCACGCCAAACCTGTGTTTAAAGCATTCATGGCCTTGTCCTTAAAGTAAGAAATGTTTTCACATTTTGCATAATGTGTTTTAAGGTATAGTTTGGCTTTCATTCCTGAACCCATCCCCCCAGTTTTGTAATTGCTGATTCCTCTCTTACATTCTAAGCCTAAAGCATACAGAAACTTAATTTATGTTTGAAATGTGACATAAGTATATGTGTGTATAAATATATATACATATATATAATTTCTGCATATGATAATCTTATGGTTTAGAAAATCATTTGCTGTGGACTAAAGATGTCATTCAATAG